ATTTAATATTAATAATTTTAAACAACATAATAGATAATAAAGTGCATCAATATCGATAATTCGATCTAATTCCTAAAATGAAACAAAACAGTTTTTTATTTTTCTATATAATATTTTCGTTTTTTTCTTACTTTAAGTACAGAATAAAAGAATTGTAAATGAATATGAAGTGTATTAAGTTTGAAATAGAAAACACCCTGAGATGTTATCCATATTCCAGCATCCGGATTATTTTCAACTTTAAGTTCAGGTGTTGTTGATGCTGCTGCTACTGCAGCTGCTGGTACTGGAGCTATTGTATTCATATTTGCTGGAACTTCTTCTTCATTATTTAATGATAAAGATGATGATGTACTTTGATTATCACCACCAGATGACATTTCAATAGCTGAAAAGAAGAAACTTTCAAATAAATGATATATTAATCTATATTCTCTTACTAAATTTTGGTTTACTAGATGATCTAGCTGATTGAAGTAATGTTTGTTGCTGCTGTTGTTGTAATAATTGTTGTTGTTGTTTTAATTGTTGTTGTTTAAGTTCATTTATATTTGGTAATTCAAGTTCAGGCAATTTAATTTCATCACGTGGTGAAATATATTTTAATATATCTTGTGCTATTGAAAACCATAAAATATATTCTTCACAAAATGAACATTGACTTGCTGTTGTTCGACAACGATGACGACGTGTCCATGGTAATATTAATTGTTTATTCATTAGAGATAAAATTTCTTTTGATAATGGATTATACATTCCTTGATGTTGTGGTGATTGTTGCAGTTCCATCTGAATAATAAAAAAAATAGAATTAAAAATAACAAAAAACAGAAACAAAATTTTACTTGTTTCAAAGCCATATCAACCATCATAATACAACATGTTGAATTTGTTTCACTTTCATTAATAATAAATTCTTCTTCTTCTTCTTTTATAATTGATACCATTTCTTGTCCAGTCATTTGTTGTAACATTAATTGATGACGATGTGCACGATAAGTTTCATATGTGTCAAAAACAAGAAATTTATTCGTTGATGATGATGATGAAACTGTTGTTAAACCAGCCATACCACTTGTAGGATTAGTAACATTTCCATCATCTTGTGATAACATCATTAAGTTTAACCCGTTATCAATTGATTGTTCATTCGATGATGAACCAGCCATTGTATAATGTTCACGACGTTGTGCACGTGATTCAAGTTTTTGTAATGAATTTATACCAGTAATAAATATTTGAACAAGTAATGGAACTGGTATATAGATATCGATTAAACATAAAATTTGTAACCATTGTAAAGCTTGTTCTTGAACACTAGCAGGTGCAGGTGATTGAAAACGATCAGTAATAAAATTATATAATTGATCACGTGTTAATGATGATGGAGACATATCGGGATCTGGATCAAACATTTTTCTATTGAAGAGAATATGATTAGATAGATTTAGAAAAATAAATTAAAGTTTATTACCGAAAGAGTAAATTTAAATCAGTTAAATCATTTTCAGGTACTTCAAGTCGAATTGCTTCCATCCAATATGGCATTATGTAGTCCCAAATCTATGAAATTAAAAATATATGTAACATCCAATTGGTCTATTTCTGTTTGAAAAAAAGTGTACATTCAAATGTAATTAACAAATGTACACAAACAAAAACTTCCTCATCTTTTCTAATCAAGCGTTAGTCTATAAAGGAAATATCAGAACAATGAATGTAATAATAACAATCAAACGAGAGAGAGAATATAGCCAGCGGAACAAAAACATTGTACTATCATATTCTTTTTTCAATACTCTTGATTATATAAAATATAACTTAACTTACTTCATATGTAATTATTCCATCCGGCATTAAATCATATAATTTATTAAGACATTCACTAACTTGTGATGTACGATTAGCCATAGTTTCCCTTTAAAAATATATATCAACTAGTTTTTTGAAAATCAAAAAAAAAAAAGATTTCTTTACCAAACACCACCAACTTTTGCATATTCAATTGGATGTGGAAGAAGTAAAGCAATAACTAATTCATAATGTTCTTTGACAACTGACTTAAGCCATGGAATAACATACTAATTTAAATAAATAAATAAATAAATAAATAAAAATAGATTATAAATTATTAATTTATCTTACTTCAGATTTTAATTTGCCTAAGACACTTCCAATTTCATTTCCTGGTAAACGAACAGTTGAATGAAACCAAAGAAATAGCATACTTAAAAGTCGTCCAAAAATTTCCTAAACAAACAAAAAAAACAATTATTTATCTTTTAAATTTGAAAAAGAACATTTTCTCATACTGGTGGTCCATATGATGTTGGTTCAATAAGACCCAAAATTAAATAGATTCCATATCGACTTAATAATTTTCTTCCAACATCAATATCCAAACTTAAAAACATATTTGTTGTATTATCAATATTTTCAACAAGAATCGATTTTTTTTCATCACTCATTGAATCAACAATACGTTTTTCTTCTGTATTATCAGTTTCACGTAAAAGACTAATTATAGCTTCAACACAATGATTTTGTACATCAGCAGATAAACGCCACATATCAATTAATGTTTCTTGATAAACATGATTTGAATCAATATGTCGTCGTTCATGACATTGTCGACATAAACTGATCGGATGATTACCATTTGATAAACAACATTCAATTGAATAACAAACAGCATGTGTCATCTTTTTTTCTGATATACATAACTAAATTAATCGACGAAAAAAAAAAAGTTGTTTTTGTTTTTAATCAGATTTAGAAAATATTTACTTTATTTTGACAATGTAAATCAATTTCTGATACAGGACAAAGAACATTACGACAATATTTTTGTATATCTTTAGAAGAATTTTTATAACAATCAGTACACATATATAATGGAGGTGGTGTATCATGACCATGTATTGATAAGAGAATATTAACACAAACTTTTGATGCTATATTTCTTCGTTCTAAACATCGTTCTGTTTGACATATAATTGGTTTTCGAGCTAAATTTAATTAATTTATTTTATTCTGTTATCGATAACAAAAATAATAACTTACGAATGAATTTAAAATGTATGGAACGTCGATCAACTCCAGTCGGATTTAACATAGGCCAATAGAAAAAAAGTAAATTCGATGCAGCAGCTCTAGCTGATGCAGCTCCATGTGCAATGACAAAGAGAATATCCTAAATATTCAATTTCAAGATTTTTTTTTCGAAAAAATTTCATTACTTAATATTCTTTTTACAATATGATATATATACATATACAACGTGCATAAAAATATAGATTAAATTCGTAAAAAAAACAAATAGTGATCATAGACAAAAACAAAATTGCATTTCAAAGCTCTTTAATTCTGCTACTGAATTATTTCTCGTACGTATAGATAGTTACTATATGAATCAAGAAAATATCTAGAACAAGGTTCCTTCTTTTTCGCAACTATACGATAAGATTAATACGTAATTTACTTTATATTCTTTAGTTTGAAAAGATATAATTTCATTCTGGCATCGGATCGAAATCGATGTGGGTTCTTAGAATTTCATATGCTTTCATCAAAAGCTTATAAATACACACATCCAAACATACAATAGCATCATGCGTAATGAATACAACATTAATATTTACTATACCAAAAATAAAAACTCACATAAATTAAATCCGCTTTTAAACTTAATAAACATTCCATAATTTGAGCATGATATACTGGAAATGAATAATTTATTTTAATTATTATCTCTCCAAAGTATTTTTCTTTTAAATCTTATTTATTCAGAAAAACAAAAACTGTTTTTTTTGTTCTTACCGGCATTATCAATATTTTCAAAAACAATAAAAAGAATTGATGCTATTGAAGTCAATGTCATTGAATGTTCAGGATATTCCGTATAAGCTAAAAGTAATATTAGAAAATCAATTCAAGGGGAAAAAAAAGAAAAATGTTTTTTTCGCTTACCCATATTAATCGGTAAAAGTGTATTACATAACATATCAAGTGTTTCTTTATGAACATCAAATGGAAATATAGTTAATGTTGTTGCAAATGTATATGGTAATGCATCAAGTAATTCATAAGGTAAAAATGGTGCTAAACAAGCAAGTGCATGTATAATTGATTGTGCTAATGCTACATCACCAGTTTGTATTAATGGTACCACATCGATTAGATTAATCAATGAATGATATAAAGATGAATAATTTAATGTTGGATATTTACTAATACGATATGAATGTTTACCAGTTGATTGTTCTTGATTTGATTCTATTGTCATTTCTTTCAATACTCTAAATGATATGAAGAAAAAAAAATTATTGTTGTTTTTTTTTATTTATTTATTTTTCTACCCCAAAAGAGCTTGAGAGAAATATTTAACAGCATTAGCAATATCATATCCACTAGGTAGTGGTGTTACACCAGTAGCAATATTATTATAAAAATCATTTAATGCTCGAATTTTAGATGAAACTAGAAATAAAACAATAGAATAATAGATTTAGTTTTATTTATATTTACATGCAGCCGCTCGAGTTGCCATTAGATCTAAAAAATAAAAGATAAGAAGATGTTATTTGAGAAAAGGAATAATAATAAAAAAAAGAAGATTATTTATAGATAACCTTTCCCGTAAAAAAAAGTCAATAATAAAAGAAGAAGAAGAAAAAAAAAACAAGATAAATAAATAATACATAGAACCATTCGACGTGATCGATCGATTCTCCTAGGATCTCGTGCTATATTACTCAATAGAATGTCGCTATTAGCTATGGAAATGTTCATTTCCAAGTAGCGCTAATTCTCCAGATATATATATAAATTTATTCAGATTGGCTTATATTTTTAGCCAACTCCTTTAGAGGTCGATAAACCTGCTGCGTATTAAGCAAATATGATGAAAACCGCCTTTCAAAAGGAAAGAGAAGGAAAGCAAAAGTAAAGATTTATTTAACATTGAACAAAAAAAAGAAAAAAATTTTTTATTAAACAAAATGGCTACATCATCATCAAGATCAGCTACAATAGCTGAATTACGTCGAATGTTTTCTAACTTAGATGCAACTGTAATCGAAAGTGTTTTAACTGCTAATAATGGTCAAGTTGATGTTACTATTGATCATTTACTTACAATGGCAATTGATACTGAAAATCAAAATAATATTCAACAAGTAAAAAAAAAAATTTTTTTTCTCTTCAATAAATCATATGTTATAGGCACTACCAACGATACCACTTCGACAATTACCAGTTGTTCCGAATATATATGATGATGATCCACCACCTTGTAAAAAATATTTTTCTTCTTCGAAATATTAAAACTAACAAAACTTTTTTATTGTAGATCCTGGTCATGAAACAACAGCTAATAATCATACAACAACCATGTCTTCTCTTCCTCAACGTTCATCATCATCGACAGGAAATAATAATAACCAATCAACCAATGCACATACGTCGGAAAAGTATGTAATGATTTCATTTTTTTTCAGATAGATCTTATGGTTTTTATTAGTACTTATTCTCAACAAGATCTACAAATTCGACAATGGCTAAATACTGATGGTCAATATCGCATGTGTTATATTGGAGATTTAACTGATGATTTTCTTCGTTTAAAATTTTTATCAAAATCTGAATTAAAAGTATAAAATTTATTTTTAAAAATTTATCTAAACAATTTTTCTACTAACAATTAGAAAACTATATCTGGAGAAAAGAGTAATACATCACAATATCTTGAAGATGAACGTTTAGCTATACTTTTTCAAGATGAAGAATTTTTAAATGAACTTCGCCATAATAAAGATTTTATAACAACACTTCATTCAGGTTTGATTTTAGATATTTTTTTTCTTTGAAATAAACAATAGAACAAAAACATTTCAGATCAACCTATTCAATCTTCCACAAATCAATCACGTCGAACAACGAATCTATTAAGTACAAAACCATTACCATTACCTACACCACCAACAATTGAAACATCTAAAACACCAAAAGTTCGTGCAAGAATGCTTCAGAATGTTCTCACACAAATTGAACAAGGACAAACAATGAGAAGTAAATAGATATATTATGTCATGATTAAATGAATATGTTTGATTTTAGCATCAATGGTTCCGCAAGAATCTATCACTCAAAATGAAGGATATTCTTATGGAAAAGGTATTTTAATTCAATAAAAATATCGTATTGAATTCATTTCTATTCTATTAGATGATAAAGAACGAATTCCATTACCACATGCACCATTTGTTCCTGATTCTGAATCATTAAAATCAGAAAGTAATGAAGAATTTATTGCTCGATTAAGAAATATGGGAAAAAGTAAAAAAAATATATTATATATATTTATAAGTTTTGTATTTTTCATCGATAGATTCAATGGAAAAATTTAATCAATTAGCTCGAAAATTTTCTACGCGTAAAGATACAACATCAAACGTTGGAAAATATTCTAAACAATCCATGTATGTTTGTATAATTTTTATAGTAATCAAAGAAGGAATGAATAAAGAATATATGAACAGCAAGCTATTCCGAAAAGATTTTACTAAGTTATGCATTGAGTTCGAATGACATACGTCCAGGTCTCAAAACTATCGAGCACACGGAGTCAGTGTCGAGTATGTAAGTCAGAGGTGCAGAATCTTCTCAAAACTCAAAAATTTCCCCACCCCCCTGAGAGAATTTTTTCGAAAAATTCTTCAAAGGAAGTTCTAAAAAACTCCCCAGACTTTCCAAAAATTTCCCCGAAAAATGCAGTTTTTAAAAAGTTCCTCCCCCCCCCGCGCGGGCGCGTACGATGTAGATTCAAGTATTTTCCGGGTATATTTACTTGACTGCATCTAGAATCAATCTTGAAAGCCTGTATTCTGCTTCCTAATATATTTTATCTAGCTTGAGCATTGAATACTTTTGAACGACAATATTTAACAATGATGATAATCTCGTTCTTTATAAAAAAATTATATTTCTTTATTTTAATTTTAGTATGGATATCTAACTTTAGTCTGATCAATCTCAATCTACTTTTATTCTTCTAATCTACTAACAATAAATAATCCTGATCTTTGTTTTGCTGTAGATACTCTCATCTATTTTTTATTTTTAACTCAGGTTGTTAAAACCTATTTGGAATTTTTTTGTTAGTGATATAAGTTAGATAAATTAATCTTAACAAGAATTATACATATATTTTATAGTTTGATTTTTCATCGTTGTATGTAAGTGCAAGTCAGATTGTATGATGAACAGTGTAACGGGATGAAAATCAAAGCTTTTTTTGTTTGTTTTTATCATGTTAGAGCTAAAGTTTTATGTTTTGTTTTTACCTGTTGTGTATTCATCAATTGTATGTAGATGTTTTTTTGTCAAATTATTTTTTCTTTTTGTAAAAATTAAAGAAAAAAAAACCTATTCTTATCAAATTAAAAAACAAGAATATTAAACTTTTTAGATAATTATTCAAAGAAAATGTTTGGTTGTTATTTAACATCGGATGATGACAAATTTCTTGATTTAATTACTGATGAATTAGACAAATACAAATTATCGAATGATTCGTCATTGTGTGTGTCTTTTTCCTTTTTATATTAAACAATATATTATTGAAGATTATTTATAATTATTTTTGTTTTATTATAGTATTCTTCTTTTTCCATCATTATCATCGCGACATCGATTGCTAGTACATCGACTTCGTGATCAAAATTATTCAGATCTATTCAGTTTTTCTGTTGGTGAAGAAAAAAATACTCGTCGAACAATAATTTGTTTCAAATCACAACTTATGGATGAAACAACTATGTAAAAAATATTCTTATTCATATTGATTGATTCTATTAGTTATATATTCTATCAAATAGATTATCACCTTCGACTGATATATCAACATCATTCAAGTAAGTTAGAATAGTGATAGAATATTTTAGAATACAAAATGACGATTAAAATAATTTCTTATTAATTTAAAGTCAAGTGATGTTGTTATGTTTATTTGAACTTACAATTGATTTAAATGAAAGGACAATAAAATAATATAATCATTACAAAAAGAAAAGTATTTGAAATTTTAACTCATATTCTAAAAGATTAATGCTATGTACTACAGAATGCGATAGACTATAGATATATTCATAGTTTAGTTGCTTTTATAGATAGTTTTTTTTTCGAGATTCTTTATTTTGTAATAATATTATATTTTTACTAATATTTTAGAACAATGTCACTGGAAACTACAGCCTCTTCGAATGATGCATCTTTAGCCAAGTATCTATTTTTCTTGTCTGTGAATACGTAAAAATATAAGTGTTGTTCTATTAGACGTCGACCAGATCAAGCTTTATATAAGCCTCCACGTCGAAGTAAAAATCCTGAAGTGTCGAGTCCTGTTTCCGCACCATCACCAACACCCGTTGAAGATACTCAACAAAATAATGATATTACTAAATCAGTAAAAAGTAAAGTTGCTCGTCCGTCTGTTGAACCTTATGTTCCACCATCCAGACGGAGTCAGCTAGTGAACAAAGAATCACTTCCATGCACAACATCAACAAATGAAAAGAATAATGATGATAACGATGATGGACAGGAAGAAGAAGAAGAAGAAGAAGATTGGGAGAAACTATTAGATGCTAGTGACAATTCCTTAACTAATCATCTTCTTGAAGAAGTAATGTTGATAATATTGATTTTTTCTTTTTATTTCAATAAAATCTTATTTTCTTTAAGATTCAGACAAAATTTAAAGAAAGTGTTCAAATAAAAAAAACAACAAATGATTATTCTCAATGGTCAATCGATGATATACAAATAAAAGAAGGTGATTTAGCACATGTAATTGAAGTATCAAATTTTCCATCAACTTTTCGTACGGAAGATCTTTCAAATGCATTCAAAACACTCACGTAAATAAATTTTTTTGTTCAAACAAATACTTATCTTATTCTGTATTTTATCAATATAGTCGCAATAGTTTCGATATAAAATGGGTTGATGATACTCATGCTCTTGTTATTTTTCCAGATGCTAATACGGGTAAATATAAAATATTGACATGAAAAATAAATTCTAGTATAAATTAAGCTTTGGATGCTCTTCAAATGGAATATCCAATGTTTAAAATCTGTTCAATGTCACAAGCATCATCTGCATCGAAGAAAAAAGCGAAGAGTTCAATTGGTATATTTATTTTATTCTTTTGAATTTATATATGTATATTTTCTTTATAGAATTTCTTCAACCATATAAAGCTCGACCACAAACATCTTCATTAGCGGCTAATCGTCGTATATGTGCTGCATTGGGTTTAAAAAATCCAATGAGTAGTGATAAAACTAAAACTGAACGACAAAAACTTGAAACAGCTAAACGTAATTTTCAAATAAAACAAATAAATTGAATATTTATTTTTTCTTTCAGAGCAAAAAAAACGTGACAAAGAAGAACAAAAAGCTGTTTGGGATGGTGCTGTTCTACCAACAACATCAACAATATAACATTTTTTTTTTGATATTTATTTCTAATTTTTTTTTTCATCTAATCGAAATCTTTTTTGTCACAATATGTTTGATTATTTCACTCTCTTTTCGTAATCAGATTTTTGTCTGTTGTTATATTAACATTTTCTTAACGGTGAGAAAACCACAAAGAATGTAACTACTGTGAATTTCTAGATAATTTAATGTCATATCAATATTCAAATGAAATAATTTTGAAACAATTATGTTCAGGATTATTATCAGGTAGTGCTATTGGAATATTAATACGTAAAGGTCATTATGTTTTATCTTATATAACATTTACATCTATTGGTTTAATTGATTTTGCATATCATTTTAATTATTTAAAATCACATATAACACATTTAACACATGACAGTTCGAATAATCGAAGAAATTTAAGAACAAGATTAACTAATTTACAACGAAATTTACAAAGAGAATTACGTGAACCATCGGATGATGACGTCAATCAAGAATTACAATGGTGTTTGAATGATGTAAGAAGATATATTGATCAACATATCTATTATGGAATGGGTTTTACACTGGCATTTTTAATGAGTATGGCTCTTGTACCAAAAAAATAACTTCCTTTTTTTTATGTTAAATTCAATTTTTTTCTTCTTCCAGAAAATATGATTACCAAAGATAATTATATATCTATATTAAATATTTTACGCAATAAATAAACAAAATAGTGACTATATTGAAAATAATGTTAAACTTGAACTACAACTAATAGTCTTTAGAATAAGAATGTGAAATAATCAATGACTCTTTTAGATAGATATGGAATATAATCATGTTGATCATGGTGACGTATTGATTAATAAAGCTTTATTGAATAGTTTTATTGATTTACATCGATCACAACTTGAATTATCCGGTGTACCACAAATTTTCTATCCTACACTATTTCATAAACTTCAAAATCAAGTGAATTTTATTATTAGAAAATTTCTATAATATAAGAATTCGAATTTATTTGAAATAGATTTTTGATGCTGGTGAATATTTTGGTATAGTTGAAGTAGAAAATGATGAAGGTGATACTATAAAACGTAAAGTTCGCGTAACCGGTGAACATAATCTACTCAAAACTGATCCTTCCATGTTAGTTAAAAATCTGAATCGATTTGTTTTTTCTAAATTTATTTCTTATTAAAGGATTTTTCTTATTGATCATGCATATACATATCGAATAAATAATATTCGAAATGAACTTGAACAATTACCTCAATTAGTTGAGCGACTTTCTCGATTAATGTTGATATCATCTGATGAAGAAAATAAAATTGATGCTATTATTGAAAATATGTGGAAATTTAATCATACATATACATTAGCTGTTGATGGTGGTAATGCTGAAGATCGTGAACCTTATTGGTATATTCGAGATGAATTTGGTTCAGCTATTGAACATTCGGAACAAGCAAATATTCGTATGGCACCTTTTCTTTCAATGATTGATGGACAAATGTATACATTATTATGGCTTATTGAAGATGTTGAATGTAATGGTATGTTATTAATAAAGATTCTCTTAGATTAAAATTTGACTCATATTAGAATCAATTACTGTTGATTATCTTTGTGGAACACGTGATGAATTAACTCGACGTGCTAAACTTGTTCCTTGGACTGATGATGATCTAGCAGAAGATATTGATTATGAACAAATTGAACCAAATGAACAATATTTTAATGTAATTTTCCCTTGTTGATAATTGATTTATATGATGATTAACTTTGGTTTTTATTTTATATAGACTGGACGAGAAAGTGAAAGTCTTCCATCATCGGATAATTATTCAATAATTGATTTAACTAAAGTTAATCGAATAATTAATGTTTTTACTGATGTTGAACTTATTCGTAATCATTTACTTGATAAACGTTTTCAAATAGTTGAAAATCAATCTGATGCTGATATTATATTTACAAGAAAACATTTTAAAGATTTCAAGTAAATAGAAATGGAAATTAATTTTATTGAAAAATTCTTTTTTTCCCTAGAAAATTATGTGAAGATACTCAACAATTAATAAATCAATTTCCATTTGAAAATGTAATCAATATAAAAGATCTATTAGCTGTTATGTGTCGTCGAACATCACCAGCAATTAATCATCAAACACTTCAATCTTATCCATTATGGTTACCAACGACATTTAATTTAACATATGAATTACCAAAATTTATTTCATATTATCAAAATCGAGAAAAAAAGTAAATACTTCATTGAATTTTGTTGAGACCTAAATTTTTCAATCTTATTGTTATATATAGAAATTTAGATAATCATTGGATTGTTAAACCATTTAATTTAGCACGATCAATTGATACACATGTAACACAAAATTTAAATGCTATTATACGATTAGCTGACTCAGGGCCAAAGGTAAAATATTTAGAAACACAAATGATTATAACTCTTCATCCAAAATAGCTCGAATCCTGTGA